GCGGTCCATTCCAGCGCATGCGATCCTAATCCCCGCGTCCATCCCACGTCCGGATCGCGAGCACGCACGTACTCGAAAATCACCCCCTTAAGCCCCCCCCCTCCCTTCAGGCTGAACGAAAAATTGTCCCGACGAATTAAGAGGAACGTGCGCTCGTCCGCTTGTCCGCTCGCCCGATCCGTCGAGACACGGCCATCGGGGGTGAAATTCGGGGTCTGTTCCTCCGCGACGAACAACGATGTTTATCCACACACGGATTCTCTCGTCTGACACCGCTGTTCATGGATTTTTAACTTGTACTGGCACATACTTCCGTACGAAGAATTCATTCCGCCGAGTCTCGTTAAGCACGTTAAACGAATTGATTTGCCGGCTTTGTTGGGAAAATTTGGAAAATTTTATTTATTCAGTTGTTAGTAAAGTCTTGGCCATTTCGTGATTATTTAATGCATGACATTACGTAAACACAGATAGTAGTAGAGTTGTCTTTATCAAAACGCAAAGAAAATACTCGTTCCATAATTTTGCGCATGCGAGATAAGACCGCTAACACTGCGTTATTTGTTAATGATATTATGAAACGATATTGTGATAAATGAAGAATAACATCGATCTTGATATGTACTGATATTACAATTAGTCATTTTTAATAAGCTCAATTCATGAAAATTTTTACTTAAATATTGCACTATGTGTTGTTTGTAACATGTAATACTTTTACGCTTCTTCTGATAAAAAGAAAAATTTAAAAAATGTTAAATTCCCTAGTAGGGAATTTCTTTAAAGCAAATTCAATGGAGCACGCTATTGAAACGGCCAAGAAGATTGTACATATTTCATTGAATAAAATCGCAAAATAATCGAAAGAGTATTTCAAAACGTTTTTAATATCTGACATTAAATTATAAAACAAAATATCATAACACACCGCGTATTAACGATAAATGATAAAATTTAAAGATTTCGTATTGTTAATGAAAATCAACGCGGCGGATCGAAACGAAGAATGAATAGAAATAAAAAAAAAAAAAAAAAAAATTAAAAAAGGGAACAGAACAGGCTTTTAAAAATGGATTTCATATTCTAATATCTCGACTGCGTGCAGCATGCGAAGATCTTTGCTTACAAAGCAAACAAGCTCGCGGCCCTCGCTGGTTTTTTCGCCCGACTGAAAATTCTCCGGTGGAAAAACAATTATTACTCTCGAAAAATAATAATATTTGTACCTGTCCCGATGCACGGCCAATTTAGTCGATAAAGCAAATAGACCCGAAGCGGATTTCACTTTGCCTTACTTTTTAACTGATTGCATGCAAACCGTATTTGCGTTTACAAAGCGTTTCGTTTCTAATGGACATTCTGTGATTCTTAGCCGTTCTGTTAATTAAGCAATACAGAGGGAAAGGTATTTCTAATTAGTAAGCTGCAAAAAACTAGCTGCAGATGTTTGTATTAACGAACATACTAAATAAAGATTTATTTTATATATTCTTGCACATTGAAATATCTCGTACATACATCAACGTTCCACGAACTTTGTTCTTCAACTTGTTCCAGCTTCTTCGATACAATTTGCACATTTCACTCGTTAATAGTTTCAACGTTAAACGCACGAGATTGTCCAGACTTATTCATAACTCGTTGTAGCAATTTTCCAACACGTAAGATATTCACAGAAAAGGATCCAGGAGCAATGTTAATTGCTACGAAAACAAAAAGGTCTGACCTCGTTCCATGCTCGTTGCTTGCAGGGTATATGCACGCGATCCCGTCATCAAGCGGATCAGGAAAAGAGATACTTACGCCGCCAATGGCACAAAGAGAGGTCGGATAAAGCGTGGATATTGCGACGCCAGTGCGAACGTGGGAATCCACGGCTGCTATCCGCTCAGCCTCATTAATGATGATGTGCTTGCCACCCAGTTGCAGTTCCATTCTCTCTCTCTTTCTCTCTCGCTCGCTCTCTTGCTCTCTTTCTCTTTCCTCGTACGCATACATCCACACGTTCTACATATTTCAGCGTGTGTAACGGCTGTGTCTACTAGAGATCCAGTCTCCATTCCACCTGTCTCTTTCTCTTTCCTTTCTCGCGATGCCTTGACAAGGAGACCCCTCAGTGGAAGCTGACGCCCCGGCCAACCACCGCATTCACCCTCCCATTCTTCTGTCTTTCTCTCTCTCTTTCGCTCCGAGTTCAACCCTCCTACAGGCTGCTCGACCTATCTACCTACACCACCGTGTTCCTCCCCAAGCAGCCTAGCCACGGAAATACAGCTCGTACATCTCGAACAGTACCACTCCCCCTGAACTCAATTCCGCGCAACCTGCGTGGACTTTTTCGCTCCCACCGTTAAATTCTTAGGCGATATTAATAGGAAAACCGCCAGGAGATCGAACGAGGGACCGTTCTATCGCCAGATGATTTGTGATTCTCTCGAATCGGTCGGCTCGAGAGGTCGGTCTGGTTTCCTCTTCGTTTTTTTCGGCACAGCCAGGGGGAAACGGTTTGATCTCACGCAGGGGTAAAACCGCAAAACCTATATCGACGCGTAAATGAAGTGAAAAATCGCGACAGGATTCGCCCCGAGTTCCGTGCACGGGAATTTAATTTGAAAGGTCTTTTTAAGACGAATCGATGTTAAAGGTTGATTTGTCGGTGTTCAGTGTTCCTTGAGAGTGGTATTGATTATTTTTCTTTCTTTTCTTTCTTTTTTCTGAGCACAAGCTTTGGAGAGAACGAATTTCTTAAGTGCTGCTCTTTTTGTGATTGTATGTATCGATGTATGATGATTGTATCGTTCATTCAAATGAAGAAACGTTTATTCAATGTTATTAATAAAAAAAGATAGGATATAAATGCTTCTTCCATTTAATGGAATTTTAACGCACCTTTTATTTCCAAAAAGTTGTCTCCTATTTAAACAGAATTTTTCATCTGAAATTTCTTTAAATTTTCATAAAACATTGAGAGGTATTGGAAATAAAAAACCTACTTATTTGTAATACGTATTTACGATAATATTTTAAACGATAGAAACGTAAAAATATTTCTGTAAATTCATAGCGCGTACTAAGTGACTGGCTCTTTCAAGGTATAATTTATCGTATTTGAAAGAATTCAGAACCCCGTTTCATTCAATCCTGCGTGAGCCTTTTTTGCTCCCCCTATTAAGCACTTGAGTGGCATCAATAGAACCATTCAAGATGATATTTTAGCATTAAGAGATCGCTCTTGATTATTTTGAGAATATACTTCACAAATCAATCAAATTATTTACGTGTTTGATGATAATAAGATTGCTCAAATCAAAACTTAAAATGACTGATTTAAGGATCAGTTATTATTTATGAGAAAAAAAAAGGAGAGAAGATTCGAAAAGATTTATAGAAAATTATTAAAGAATTAACATTGAACACACAAAAAATACATGTCCTTATTAATTGTTATTTAGCTGTACAACACGAGAGAGGTCCAAGGAAGCCAAAGCAACAACAATCGCCGATCGCACCACCTTTACACAATGATCGATTAAGAGCTAGTCTTGGATCCCCTTATGTTCTATTGCATCAAAGGTGTGTATAATGTTCGTATTAAAAGTATACTTGAAATGTAATAAATCTGTATTGTGTGTGTCATTTCAAATAAAAATTGCTTATTGGGCATGCACAGTGACTGACACGGCGTCGACTCGTACTACTGAAATTGCTAAATCTTATGAAAGAATAGTTCTAGTGGAAGAATAAAAAGAACAATTAGACAATCATTTCACATATTCCTGTAATTCTATCACGTACAGATTATCAAAATATATATCATTTATCCCATATTTTTATATACATACATATAATCATCCCATGTTAAAAATACTTTCATCGCTTAAAATATGTTTGAAAACAAATCGTCTCGACGGAATGTCACTGTAAAGTCCGTACTCTTAGCAATTAGAGTTTGATAACTCATACAAAAGGACGCTAAGGATAATGTGTGCAGAAAGTTCAGGTGCGACCAGAGGTTCTCGCCTTATCCACGGCCAGTGGCACTGGTGCAGAAACCACCGGAGGACTCTCCATCCCCGGCACCATTGGCTCTACCACATTCTCCTTCGACCACGACCCTCTACTCGGCACCCCCGAGCGTCGCCCTGACACCGCAGCCACCCCTTCTTCAGATACTAATGTCCGCGGAGCAGTGTCAGGTAAGTAATTCAGCTCAATTTGCTCGAGTCTGGTGTTTCCCCTTTGCAAACTTTATAACCGGCAATCCGACAAATCCTGCCGATTTCACACGCCTCGACTGAAACTGAGCGATCCTGGACATTGTCTTGGCGAATAGTCTCTACCTTGTTTCGGATTTATACCCTTTGTTTTTTTTCTTTTTTTTTTGGCGATTTATACCCTTGAAGGTAATTTTTTTTTTTTTGGTTGAGAGATTTAGAGAAATGTTCCAATGATACAAATTCAGATTTTTATGAATTTTTATCGAAGAAATTTTAAATCTAGATAGAGATTTGTTTCATTGTTTACAATTTCGCTTAAAATTAAAGTAAATGTTAAAAAATTGAAAGACAATATTCAATGTCCAATTTTTTCTTAGGGTAGATATCAATAAAAGTAATAATAAAAATAATTGGCAATTTCTCTTAGAAGAGAATTATTGTAGTTTTTTTTTTTAAATACTATTGGTATTTATTGGTATTTATTAAGTAGCTACTAGACTTTTAAATATATTTTTATCTCACATAAGGAACTTGTATGGAACGCGCCATTACAATCGGAAACAGAATACTCTTTGGAACAAACAGAAGCTAGTCATAATTCCACAGGAACTCTATCAAATCTTAATCCCACGCGAGAACTATTACAGGTAACTATACTGAAAATTCCGAAATATTTATAGCGTTCAATTGAATATTCTATTTTTTTTTCTTTTTACATTCTAAATATTAAAAAAAATTAACTGGTATATAATAGATTAATCAGGAATTTTAATGGAAAGACAAAACTAATTAATATATTTCAGGAAACTACTGCACGTTTACTATTTATGGCAGTAAGATGGGTTTGTTGCTTACCCCTGTTCCAATCACTTTCGAAGAACGACCAATTATTGTTACTCGAAGGTTCCTGGACACAACTTTTTCTCCTTCATCTGGCACAGTGGTCTATGTCTTGGAACATTACCGGCTTATTGGAAGATGAACAGGTACGAGCAAGATTGCCAGACGAAGCTACAACAAATCAACAATTAATTACTATTCAGGTAAAACATTTCATCACAAAGATAACGCTATGGCTCAAAATATAAAAATAAAATTTAGAAATAAAGACAGATGTGTAGTATGAAATATTTTCATGATTTCACGTTTAATATATGCATATTTTAGGACACAATATGCCGTTTTAAGCAACTCTCTCCAGACATGAGTGAATGGGGATGTATGAAAGCGGTAGCACTCTTTACTCCAGGTAATGAGAAATTTCGATTTTGAAAAAACTAGGATCTAGATCTCGATTTATTCGATATATTTCTTCGTTAGAAACGGAGGGTCTTCATGCCAGTGAGTCGATCAAAATGTTACAAGACCAGGCTCAATGCATCCTAGGAGATTACACGAAGTCTCGTTATCAACGACAACCGGGCAGAAGCGGGACATTAATGCACGTTGTCGGACGTTTAACATCCATTTTCCCAAAACTGGTCGAACGTTTGTTTTTTCACGAAACTATAGGCGAAATTCCGATTTCTCGTTTGTTGGTTGATATGTATCAAATGAAAGGCCACACAAACTGAGATTTCCCGATAAATGACGCGACAGTATCGCGTGAAAAATCCCTGTGGTTCTACAAAACCCTTCCGATTTTCCAAACCAGATACTAAAAACTAGAGATCGGAAAAAGGTTTTGAAACCTGTAGCTAAAGACTGCAAAATTATAAAAAAAAGAAAGATTACTTGTCTTTTCTCGTAAGATCCGTAGATAGATCTTCGTAATACTTAAAGAATCATTTGGTTGTACGGTTACTATTATAGTTTTATATGATTTTCTATATCTGTGCAATACATTGAGTATGTTAGCTTTTGTTCGATAATGAACATCATTTTTGTGATCAATAGAATTTGTTTCTTTTTTTTTTTTTTTTCTTTTTTAAGTGAAAAGAAAGAACGTCACACATAAACTGTAAAAACTATTTAGCTAAGTAGAATTTTTGTGTAAGTGCTACTTGTAAAACATTTGTAAAAAAAAAAAAACATTGTGTTTTGTGTTCTTATGATATTGTTTCGATAATACTACCGAATATGAAAGAATTAATATTATTTCTAAATTATTATATCTAATATGATCGCTTAATTTAATAAAACAACAGAAATCCAAGTTACTCAAATGAGTCATGAATGAAGTTAATTTTACAATCTTTTATCATTAAAATAGAGGAAATTTAATAATTCTGACAAATAATATAGAACGAAAACTGCGAGTACATAATAATTATGGGAACATAAAACACTTTCATACGAAATAAACCGTTTTAAATTTAATGTTGCATCAACATTTTCGTAATTCATTAATTAAAAAATAGTACGCTAAGAAAAATCTTATTCGTGGATGTAAAAAATTATATAAGAAATAGATACCCCATTCATTTGTAAATAATTAAATAATCGAGATTAACAATATAATATTGAATTAATTACTATTCAACTAGTCAATTATGTACTTTGCTTTCAATTTATGTGATATATATTTATATTATTTACACAATGTACTCTAAGCATATATAGTACAGTATTTATTTGTATACAACATATCAATATAATCGTTTCCTTTTAAATTTGTAGATAATAAGTGTTATTAATTGTAATTTAATAGTTATATTTTATATTGTAATATTTGAAAGAATAATCTACAATCGTTTTCAAACGTATGTGATTTTACTTGAAATATGATCATATTTGTTATTAAACTGTATTTAACATTCGCTAACATCATATATTTGTTGTAAAAAAACAAAATTTGGTTTTGTGGAATAGATACTATGTTTTATACATATATATGTATATTAGCATATAAATAATTTATATGAACCTGTGAAAATGACAGATAATTGAAATGAAATTATTAAAAAAACACTTAGTATTAATGATATTTTTTTCTATCCTTACCCTTATCTAGATATACATGTACTTAAAATTTAATTTAATAAATTAATTATTATTTATGTGTTTGTTAATGAAAAATTTAAAGGTGGTACAAAATAACTTTTTAAAAATTATTAAATCGCTCCTGTAATAAAAATAGAAATATGAAAGTATGCTCTTGATTGTCTCAAATAAATAGGAAATTGTATTACAAGTTTTTTATTATACAATTTTCATTAGTTAATTTCTTAATTTTTAAATTTTATATATTATAACGAGATTTAATTAACATTGCATTATGTAGGTAGATGAAATCTAATAATTTAAAATGTACGAGAACTAACAACCTAATCTCAATGCATTCTCGTTAAGAACATAGTTCATGCTTTCCAACATGGACGCATTCATGGATACGGTGTTAAGAATCGATAGTTGTGTATTCTAACCTTACTTTTCAAGTATAAACATTATTTTTGACATAAAGTAAAAAAAGACAATGGCACATAGTAAAATATTTTTAAAAAATCGCGCATTAGGATATGTCAGTAATCACATTCCTCTCGTAACAAGATATATTAAAAGGCGGAAAGAAAATCTTATAGTAACATGTGTTGGTAATTCATTTCATACGTACGGTTGTTCACATTTTACGCTTCTCAGCGTATCAGGCACGCATCCAGGTGAAATTACAAGTCTCGCAGGAGATGTTTATCACATTTATACAGCATGTGGGAAAGATATATATGCTTGGCGAAGAGGGACAGAAGTGAAGCACATTTATAAAGGTCACAATTGCACAGTGCATACTTTGCTACCTTTCGGCCCATGTTTAATATCTGTTGATGAAAATAGCAATGTTAAAGTCTGGGATATTAAAACAGAAGAGCTAGTAACTGAACTTACTTTCAACAATAATCATTTTAAAATTACAACATTAATACATCCTTATACATATATGAACAAAATATTATTGGGAAGTGAACAAGGCCAATTGCAATTGTGGAATTTGAAAATATTAAAATCAATTTACATATTTAAAGGCTGGAACACACCAGTAACTGCACTTGAACAAGCACCTGCAATAGATGTTGCAGCAATAGGTTTAAGCGATGGAAGAATTATATTACACAATTTAAAGGTAGATGAAACAATTTTTGAATTAGTGCAAGATTGGGGTTGTGTAATATCCATTAGCTTCAGAACAGATGAACATCCAATTATGGCTACAGGAAGTTTAGAGGGTCATATTGTATTTTGGAATTTAGAGCAACGTAAAGTAGAAAGCCAACTACATAAAGCTCATTTTGGGGCTGTGACAGGGTTAAAATATTTACCCAATGAACCACTATTAGTATCTTCATCCCCAGATAATTCCTTAAAGTTATGGATATTTGACTTAGCTGATGGAGCTGGAAGACTTCTAAGAATTAGGGAAGCTCATTCAGAGCCTCCTACTCTTATCCGTTTTTATGGAAATAAAGGTGATAACATATTAACAGCTGGAAGTGATTCTTCCTTGAGGAAATTTTCCACAATTACAGAAATATTAAACAAAAGCCTTGGAAGAGCATCATTCAATAGAAAAGCTGCAAAGAAAAGAGGAAGACTTGTTGAAGACCCTTTATTAATGCCACAAATTATTGATTTTGCTACAGAAATAACAAGAGAAAAAGAATGGGATAACATTGCAGCAATACATTCTGGTTTGGGTACAGTCACTACATGGTCTTTTGATAAGTCAAGAATGGGAGAACATAAATTACTCCCAGAAAAATTTAAAAGTAATCGAAATATTGTAGCAACCAATGTATGTATAACAAAATGTGGAAATTTTGTTGTTATTGGATATAATAATGGCCATGTAGAAAGATTTAATATACAATCAGGACTTCACAGAGCTACTTATGGTACTCATAAAGGAGCACATCAAGGTCCTGTAAGAGGTGTAATGGTAGAATCTTTAAATCAAATTGTAATCACTGCTGGAAGAGATGCATTTATAAAATTTTGGAGTTTTAAACCCAAAATAGGTAAAAAAAAAACTATATTTCATAATACATTATATTAAAATATAACTAATTGCATATTATAATTTTCAGAACCATTAGCAAAGATGACACTGGATGAACCAGTTGAATGGTTACGGTATCATAATGAAAGTTCTCTTATAGCTGTAGCATTGGAAGATTTTTCTATTATATTAATAGATATTGACACTAGAAGAATCGTTCGACGTTTTGAAGGACATAAAGCACAATTAACAGACGCATGTTTTAGTCCTGATTCCAGGTGGTTAATAACAGCATCTATGGATTGTACAATTCGAACATGGGATATTCCTTCCTCTAATTTGATAGATATTTTTCAGGTATATACCTCTATCGATATATACTATTAATATATGTTAACGAAACTAAAAAATTAATCCAATTTTAAGATATTAATTGAATATAATATTTTAGATTTCAGAAGCATGCACATCGTTACATTTTTCTCCTACTGGAGAATTTCTTGCTACAATACATGTGTGTAATTTGGGTATATATTTATGGTCAAATCGTACATTATATTCCCACATTTCTTTGAAAGCAGTGAACAAAGATGATCCAATTCCAATGATTGGTCTTCCTGGTTCAAGAATAGAAGATAGTGATATTCAGGAAGATGAACTTATTGAAGCTGAGTTAAATTATATTTCCCCGGTGCAACTTCAGGACAATCTTATTACAATGTCTGGTTTAGCTCATTCAAAATGGCAAAATCTATTGAATATCGATATCGTAAGAAAAAGGAACAAACCGAAAGAACCACCCAAGGCATCGGAAAATGCTCCTTTCTTTTTACCAACGATTCCATCCTTAGAATTGAAGTTTGACTTTACGAATGTTAATAATACAGAGACCAATAAGAAAATAGTTACTCATCCTGAATTACAAAATCTGACCTCGTTTGGTAAATTGTTACTGTCCATTGAAGATGTTCAATTTGAAGAAATTATAGAAAAATTAAAGTCCATGAGTCCTAGTTCAATCGATTTCGAGATTCAATCACTTTCAGCAGATGAAAAAACATCCAATATTTTATTATTTCGTTTTATGAAAATGATACGTCACATGATGGAAAAGAAAATGGATTTTGAATTAATACAAACTTACTTAGCTGTATTTTTAAAATGGCACGGAACAACAATAACAGAAGATGAATCATTAAGAAATTACTTAGATATATTACAAGAAATACAGTCAAAAACTTGGTTTTTATTAAGAGATAAATTGTTTTATAATCTAAGTGTAGTACAAGCTTTGAAGAAAATGTAATATATATTATTGTAATTAAAATAGTGTATTGTTTCACATAATTTATATTTTTTTAATATAATTACAAAATATTTTTCGGAAGTGTATTGAAATAATTACAGATTTGAAAAATAATCAATTTATTGTAACATCTTACAAACTTAATTATGTTAGCACATTTAGAATTTTAAATATATAATTAATTTTTTATATAGTAATCCACAATTAAGTAAAATTAAGTAAAAAGGGCTGTATTAATTACAAGTATAATTTGTTCCTGTATATAAATATAACAATTACGAAAATAATTTTACAATATTTGTAACATATATTGAAAGTATCATATAGATACAAGTAGAAAGTATTTATAAATATATATACAAAGTTTGTTATTAAATGATGAAAATTTATTCTCTATAAGCAATGAAACTGTGTAATTGTTCTATTGTTGTTGTTTCTAATTCTAAATCTCCTATATAAATTTCAAAATTTGTAACAATTCTATAAAGACTTCTTTTTACTGCTGCACGTAAAGAATGGAAGATTTGTTTAATGAATTTATCATCTTCATTTTGTTTCTTTGTCATAAGATTTGTTCTTTGTAATTTATCAAGAATTTGCTTTAATGTAAGCAAGGTATTGATTATGAGCGATAAATCTTTTTGCGCAATTCCATAAGAATCTTCATTTAGAGACAACACAGCCAAAGATGAAATCGCATCTGCAGCCCAAATTATTGTTTGTCCATTAAATAAAATATGACACACTTTTCCACCTTCTATTTCACCAAAGATATATGCAATAAGTGGTTTAGAAAGTAAATAGGTAAGAAAGTTACTCCACTTTGTTTTTATGAACTTTTGGATATATAGTTCACTATCAACATCCTTTTTTATATCAATTTGTTCTGTACAAACTGGTATCTCTTCTTTTTTTAAATTGCGCATATGGTATACATATTGTTTTTGAAATACACTAACATCTGTTATTGTTGAACTTGGAGCACAAAGAGATAACTTTGGTTCCTGAGGTTTAATGCACGCATTAAGATTATCAGAAAATTTCTTGATGAGACCAATACATTTTTCCACAATACAGTTCCAATTGTAAGGATGACCTCCAGGTTGACTCAATGTGAATAAGACACTTCTTCTAGCTTTATCTTTCTGTGCTATTGTAACTAAGTCTAAATAGCCTAAGTGTTGCATTATTGGCACTTTATCTATAGATAATACTTCAGGAAGCGTTACTCCAGATTCATCAATACTAAATACACTGCTTTGTTTGAATTCAAAAGGAACCCACTCTGTCAAATATATTTCAAACATTAAATACATGCTGTCAATTGCCAATATAAATGTCAGTTGGTATAACCATAATTGGAAAATCAATGACAAATTCAGTAAACTAGGAATATTACTCAACGGTTCACTTTCTAATTGTGCAGATGCTAAAAATAATATTGTCGAACAACAATAAGGACCCAAGAAATAATAACCGATTAAATAATATAAAGTTGGCCATATGCATTGAGCCATCAATGATGGAAGTAAAGAACTGATTCCTGCCTTAAATCGAAAAAGCTTCGATGAAGATATGATAGGAAATTTTAAATATTTTATATGAAAGATACTAGTTTTTAAGAAAAAATATAATCCACTCCAAAATCCACTTAACAATAAAAAGTAATGTTCTTCCATCAAACATGTTCCATAGATTATGCTACATTCTGACATTAGAAATCTATATTTGCCTCCTTTGATTGATAAATGCAACCCAGCAAGAAGACCACCGATGGTAACATGTAAAATACCCATTAAAATATTTTGAGATGTGAATATACCACAAAATTTAATGAACCTACTTTTTGAGTAGGGTGGCATATTTGAATAATTTTTGGTACAAATAATTCCTTGAAAGAATGTAACGGTGGCAAGAACGCAAAAATAACTCCACATTCGAAAGGAAGTTACCGCTGTCCATGTGTTTTCAATCCATGTGTTATAATCCATGTTCAAATTCGTAATTAAAAGTAAAAAAGTCACAAGTAAGAATTGTACCGTTATACTGGAGACAATAGCTAAGACCATTCTCTGCATCAGCAATTCTTTATATCCTTTTTTATTCATCTGCATCATTTTGTTTACTTGTGAGGTTAACCTTTACTTTCTTGATGAAATTTCGCAAATTATGCAGTACGAAATTTTTGCCAATAAACGTAATCTAAACTTTCAAATAAATGTCTCATATGTTTTTAACGTTTTAACTTTTTGAATATCAAAAAACGGAAATAATATAAACTTTTTATTTCAAAAAGCCGGTATATCTCTGAATTTTCCGTTGAATTTGAGCGCGCCACTATGGTTGTTTTCATGAAATAAACGTAAAGGATGATATTTATTTATATGATTACGAATTTGAATAATCTTCTTCAACAAAAAATATCATATTAATAAATATCATATTATTACAATAAATCTAGATTAATAGAGTGAGATTTATTATATATAAATATCATATAAATATTATATTTATTATATATAAATATCAGAGTATTTCGTTAATAAATGTTCATGAATGAATGGTGTATGATCAGTTCGTAGTTTCCTTTCTATTTTATACTCTATGATTCTAGCAAATGTAAGTCAAGTGCTTGATAAGTTTTCGAACCCGAGGAGGAACTATTCATTATCCAGCGAAGGTTGCCCTACTAGTAACATATCTAATTAACCCGCGTGTCATTTTCAATGCGCCTATTCATATAATATAAACAAAATGGATTAGAATCTCGTGAGAATTTATTTCTATTATTTTATGGATATCACAAGAGTTCACCGTCATGTGGAAGTGCCATAAATGTGGAAAACCCGTATACTTCGGTTAGTTTCAATCTTCGCATATATTAAAAAGGCGTACTAATTTTGACAAGTACCGTTTCCTGTCATTACAATGAATTGATTAATTTCCTATCTGCATGAACGTTGTGTTATTTGTATACTTTTTTACCGAAAATAATATTTTACCATCATTTTTCTGTCTTTTAATCGAGTTCTTTGTCGTTAATTATGCAGTGAGTTTTACAATTAAAAGATTAATTGTTTATTGTCGTAATATGACGATTTTAACACTTTAAATATTTTAAAAAACACTAGATGAAAATGAAAATTTATGTAATTTATGTACCAAGTTGGGCAAATATTTAAACGTACTAATTTGTAAATTAATAATCTACTATTTAAAAATGAAATACTATTTAAAAATGTTATTTAATTAATTAAGGAAATATGTTTATTAAAGAATCAATGCAATTGACTGTAGAACTGATTTATTTCGCAGAAATATACTATAAATACATTTCTTTGTTTTTTACTAAATATTTTGAACTTTAGCTGAACGCAAACAATCATTGGGGTATGACTGGCATCCAGAGTGTTTACGATGTGAAGAATGTGGAAAACGTTTAAATCCAGGCCAACATGCAGAGGTGCACCATTATATTCTTTATTAAAATAAATATTTAATCTAATTTATTCTTTATTATTATTTTTAATACACTACTACACTAGCTTTCATTTAATAATTATTATATAAATTATTATATAATAAAATTTATATCTATTTTTGTAGCATAAAGGGGTACCATATTGTCATGTACCATGTTATGGAGCTCTGTTTGGACCACAATTATTTGGTCATGGAACAAGAGTTGAGTCACATACAAGTTTTGGAAAAAAAGAAGCTAGACCATCACTACCCAGGTATAAAGTTCAAAATAATATACTTTATTTCACGATACAATATTAAAAATACTATTAGATTAACTGTTTGTTTATTTTTTTATGTCTAGATCACATTTAGAATCAAAGTTGAAGGTTTTCAATCAGTATTATGAAGGCAAGAGTGGTGGAATAAGAAGTCGTGAGGTAACAAAAAATTTTATATTTTATTTAAACTTTAAAAGATATAGAGAAACTGGATAATTAATATTAATTTTGTAAAGGTTAATGGAAGATTGATACTAGAAGGTGCACTTCGCATTTATTGGGGTGTCAGAGGAGTGATTCATTTAAAAGAAGATGATGATCAACGTACAGTAGTTACAGCGCGTAATAGAAATTCGTGCAGACGAAGTGTTTCTGATGTGTGTACATATTTTTTTTTTATAAAAAGAGACGTATTTAAAATATTTAATACGTTTGTATATCTTGTAAATTTTTCCAACAGAGTATAGAAGATGACGAAAAAGAGGAAGATTGTGTAAAAGAATCGTGTGAACAGGATGCAGAAACTGAAACAAAATCTGTTCCAACTTCTCCTGATCATCTTAAAAGCATTACTTTACCAATGAAGCTAGATGTTAAAAATATGGAGTGGGATGAACTGGATGAACTTCTTCAGGTTATACCAATTATTAAAACTACCGATTACGAAATATTTTTATCACATTTCACTAATTTGTTCTCTTTTGAATTGTCTAGGTTGAACGTAAAGTCGAAGATGGGAAAAAATTATACCAAACGATGCCTGAAAACTTGCCATCGATTAGTTCGCAAACCAGTTCCGACGCGCTGCCTCTTTCCTCTCAGTCCAGTCTTGATAGATCTGATTCTCGCGAAAATTCAGAGGCGGACAGTCCGAATCATCAAGGAAATCGCGGAAACGACAGCAGTGTAACCAGTACACCAACGCACAGTATAGGTAGTTCTTCCAGCACTGACACACCTGTTTATCATGGCACTCCAAATCGAAACGGGACACTTCGAAGGGTAGAGTACTTCGACAGCTTGGAGAAAAATATGTCTGGCAATAGATCCATTAGCACTGACGATAGTTGGATAGAAAAAGGCTTAAACCGATCGATGTCCGGACCTGATTGCCTTCAAAGACATCGAACCGATAGCGATACAGATTCTGTAAATTCTTTACATTTTAGAGAGGATGATAACATGACAATGTCTACTGACAGTGGACTAGAGGTATTATAACAATTAAATAGTTTTGTATTTTTATTGTTTTCTTTGTATATGCATATTTATAATATGATTTATAGCTGGACGGCGTAGTTTTACGACGAAAACAAGGCTCCACCGCAATCAGACGTCGCCCAGGCGGTCGACGACAATCACGTAGTCGATTGCGGCGTCGTTGTTCAATTAACGGACATTTTTATAATCGTGAAACCAGTTTTTTCACACCACCCCATGGATCTCAAATGTCCGTTTGGATTACAAGTTTAGTAAATACTCAGGAAGTTATCAATCTCATGTTGGATAAATACAAAGTTGATGCCAAGCCAGATAATTTTGCGTTGTTTGTGGTCCGCGATAATGGCGGTGAGTTAAAACACTTTAGAAACCATAAATCTACTGTTTATCATTATTTGAGAAAGATAATTTTCTTTTTTGCAGAGCAAAGAAGATTACGAGATGACGAATATCCGCTGGAGGTTCGCGTAGTGTTAGGTCCGCATGAAAATGTCGCGCGACTTTTCTTAGTGGATAGATTGTCGACTCCGGAGATCAGCTCTGACGTTGCACAGTTTCTTAATCTTTCTCTGGCAGAGTGTCATGGTATATTGCAGCGTTATTATTATGAAGAAGAGCGTCAGATTCTTCTCCTGAAGGAAAAGTACGTTTTTTCTAAAAATTTATAATTATGTAATATCAATATAATTATCAATTATTAATTTTACGCATATAGTGTAAATCATATCTCTTTATTATTATTATTATTATTACTTTAATTTACAGATACAAGGAGATGCGACGAAGAATACGGCAAAGAATGGAAGAGTTAAAGGTTCGACTATAGTTAGTATGTATTCACAATGAACATTTAAATATCCATATTATTATTTTTTTATTAATTTGTATTCGAAGATACTTCCTTCTTTTTTTATATATACATATAAATTATTTGTCGTAAAATGTGTTATTGTAATTGTCCTAAAGGTATGTATTACAATATATATAGTTTAACATATAGTTTATTCTAACATTGAAACGTAGAGTCATTCACTGTCGACATTTTGTTAACTCACTATATTTTTTCATAATTTTAAGAAACTGTTTCTACGATAGTTTTAATTTTTTGCTTTAAATATCTGCTTGAAATGTGCGATAAAAATTAATTTATGTAACAATGCAGAAGTTAAATCATTAATCTTCGAGTCGTTCAATCTTTATATGAATTTGTTTCTTGAAACTACCGTCAACGAACGTCGTGAGCTATAAAAGACCACGACGATCATAGTAGAAAATCTTGCACGATTTTTTGCGGAATGACTCACTATCGGAAAAGTGATTTACGTTTGAATATGCCGAGCGATAACGTACTAACATTTTCTAACTTAAAGTCTTATTGTTACCTTATCAAATTGTACTCATTACATTTGCATCTTTGTTGCATTTGTAGTCGTTAAAGCGCAGCTATTATCGAGACATTCAGTGCAATTTAAAAGTTCATGTATTTAAATGATATGTTATACATATATATTGTTTAAGTCGACTGTGCGTCAAATAACGTTAGTTACGCAGTCATTCTTTAACGCGATATCTTCTAAATTGCTATTTGCTAATTGTTATATGTACAGCATTTAATTTGATTTTTTAACACTGAAAACATTGTCATAATTTATGAAGTATCTGTGTAGTAGACAGACACCGATATTAAATCAGTTTCCAGTGGTTTCTGTTCGATTCAAGAGAGGAACAATTTTATAAAAGGGGAAGAGAAATGATATTGTCGCAATTTAGATTGTACGATTGTTAGAATCTAAATGCAAGGCTGTCCAACTTTTTGCCTCGTGAGATTTCTCTAGATTTTCTGTTCACGTAGGTGCCAAAGGAAGAAGAAAAGGCAAAAAAAAGAAAAGAAAAATGAAAGAAATTATTATATATTAAACGGTAAATGGAAATAGAATTTTAACAATGGAATTGTTGAATTTAAATATTAAAGAAAGCAGAACGTTTTAAAAACTATATGTAGATGTATATATCGTCCAAATGAGAATAACTATAAACGATTGTACCTTGAAATGCAGTATCAGTTGGACAGCTCCGAGATCCATAGATAATTGTTATTAATCAATAGCAATTTTCGACACGTGTCACTGCCGCAATTGCTAAATCGTAAAATAAATATTTTATCTGTAGAATATAATACGAAATCCCCGTCGAAGAAGGGGATTGCATTGAAGATAATTTGGCTTCTAGAGTCTGTTCGAGAGCTATTTTAATCGATATGAGTGGAATTTTAGGAAATCAAATTTCTTCATATAGTTAGTAGTTTAGTAACTATATTATCATGTCAACGATAATTGATTTTAGCTAAAATATAGAAATTTTAATGAGACAGACAATGAAAAATGTTTTTTCCTTACGCATAGAAAGAAAACGTAACAATTTAGATTTCGAATTAGAATTAAAGTCATAGTTACGTTTCCTCGAAATCGTCAGATAAATCGTCCTCATTTAGATAATTTCTCGTTGAAAGGATCCAAAATTTTTTACAAAAACTTATACATATTTGAGTTAGTTTAACTTTAAAAAGACGATGTAGAAGAATCTTCCGAAAGTGTTTTTTTTTT